TATATATCTTAAAAGAACACTAACATAAAAAGCTGCAAACAACTTGTCAAGTAGGGTTTTTCAGTGGTTCAAAGTACTTTTAATTGTCCATAGTTTTAGAATACTTTTCTATTTTGTAGTTGTCTGATCCTCGGAATATCTGAATTCTCTTTACTTAAAACTACAGCTTGAACGTATGGATCTTGCTCAACAGAATGCTTACATACACATCAAGAATTTGTAAAGAAATGTTACTCAATAAGCGAATACTTTCTATTGTTTACATAAAAAAGAAGTGTGTTTATGAGCATAAAAAAACACATTTTAAGTAAATAACACAATATTAAAAAAATATTTAGATTTTATTCTTTGCTCAGTATTTAAAGTCTTACATGGGCCTGCCATTAAAATAATCTGTTTGACATTTGGTAAAATATGTGTCTTGGAGAAAAATCCACAAGATGGCTTTTCAGTAACATTTAAAAGTAAAAAATTGCAGATGTCTCAGCCATTTAGTCTGCATACTGACAAGAGAGATCCCAGCACATAGTCACCTATAACCATACTCTCTGTGCAATCGGTTAACATACATGGATAGTGTGCAATATCTTGGTCCTCTTCCTATTCCATGGACTGCATAATGAGGATTTACTAGAAAATTATGATAGAAACATAGAAACATAGAATGTGAGGGCAGATAAGAACCATTCGGCCCATCTAGTCTGCCCAATTTTTTAAATACTTTCATTAGTCCCTGGCCTTATCTTATAGTTAGGATAGCCTTATTCATATCCCATGCATGCTTAAACTCCTTTACTGTGTTATCCTCATCCACTTCAGCTAGAAGGCTATTCCATGCATCCACTACCCTCTCAGTAAAGTAATGCTTCCTGATATTATTTTTAAACCTTTGCCCCTCTAATTTAAGACTATATCCTCTTGTTGTGGTAGTTTTTCTTCTTTTAAATATAGTCTCCTCCTTTACTGTGTTGATTCCCTTTATGTATTTAAATGTTTCTATCATATCCCCCCATGTCTCGTCTGTCCTCCAATCTATACATGTTAAGTTCCTTTAACCTTTCCATGAATTTTTATCCTGCAATCCATGAACCAGTTTAGTATCCCTTATGTGAACTCTATCTAAAGTATCGATATCCTTCTGGAGATATGGTCTCCAATACTGCGTACAATACTCCAAGTGTTCTGTACAATGGCATGAGCACGTCCCTCTTTCTACTGCTAATACCTCTCCCTAAACAAACAAGCATTCTGCTAGCATTTCCTGCTGCTCTATTACATTGTCTGCCTACCTTAGTCATCAGAAATAATCACCCCTAAATCCCTTTCCTCAGATGTTGAGGTTAGGACTCTATCAAATATTCTGTACTTTGCCTATGGATTTTTATATCCAAGATGCATTATCTTGCACTTATCCACATTAAATATTTGATAAAGACCTGGTTTCAGGTTGAAACGTTGCAACAAAAAACTGCCTGGAAGAAATCACAGTGAGTGCCTGAGATTTTTGTTCATTTTTTTCAGTTGCCACAACTTTGACCATTTTTCTAAATCATTTGCCATTTGACTTATCCCTCCTGGAACATCAACCCTGTTACATATCTTAGTATCATCAGCAAAAAGACATACCTACCATCAAGACCTTCTGCAATATCACTAATAAAAATATTAAAGAGAATGGGTCCAAGTACAGATCCCTCAGGTACTTCACTGGTGACAAGCCCATGCTTTGAATATACTCCATTGACTACAACCCTCTGTTGCCTGTCACTCAGCCACTGCCTTACCCATTCAACAATATTGGAATCCAAACTTAAAGATTGCAATTTATTGATAAGCCTTCTATGTGCAACAGTGTCAAAAGCCTTACTGAAATCTAGGTAAGCAATGTCTACTGCACCACCCTGATCTATTATTTTAGTTACCCAATCAAAAAAAATCAGTGAGATTAGTTTGGCATGATCTCCCTGAAGTAAACCCATGTTGTCACTGATCTTGAAATCCATGTGTTTTTAGATGTTCAACAATCCTATCCTTTAATATGGTTTCCATTACTTTCCCCACTACTGAAGTAAGACTTACTGACCTATAGTTGCCTGACTCCTCCCTACTATCTTTCTTGTGAATGGGCACAACATTTGCTAACTTCCAATCTCCTGGGACTACTCCTGTTAACAATGATTGGTTAAATAAGTCTATTAATGGTTTTGCTAGTACTCCACTAAGCTCTTTTAATAATTTTGGGTGTATTCCATCATTGACTTCTTTGTCTTTACTTTTGACAGGTGAAATAGATCCTCTACCTTGCTAAACTCCCATGTAACAAATGACTAATTTGTCCTTTTTCCTAACTGAGGCCCCTTTCATTCATTTTCATCTGTAAATACTGAACAAAAATATTAATTGAGTCAGTCAGCTAGACATTTATCGTCTTCTACATACCTTCCTTCTTTTGTTTTTAATCTAACTAACTTTCCTTTTCTCATTTATGTATCTAAAAAAATGCTTTGTCCCCTTTTTTACTGACTGTGCTCTTTTCTCTACTGTGTGTGATTTGGAAGCTCTTATAACGTGCTTAGCCTCTTTCTGCCTAATCTTATAGATCAATCTGTCTTCCTTACTTTTTTTTTTTTATAATTACTAAATGCTAACTTTTTGTTTGTTACTATTTTGGCCACATCTGCAGAGTACACCAAGGTTTCTTGAATTTTTTGCTTTTACTGACAAGCCTAATGCAATTTTGTGTTGCCTTCAGCAGTGCAACTTTTAAACAATCCCCTTTTTCTTGGACTCCATTTAAATTGATCTAGTCTGATAATGACTCCTTTACACATATTCTAATTTTAGAAAAGTCTGTTTTTTTAAAGTCTCAATCTTTTGTTTTTGTGTGGTGTGACTCAGTCACTGTTCTTATTTTATACCACACTGACTGATGATCACTTGATCCTAAACTTTCACCTACAGTTATATCTGATACCAAATCTCCATTTGTTAACACTAAGTCTAGTATGGCCTCTTTACAAGTTCCTCACCTCTTCTGTGCATCTCCAAGCCATAGTTTTATTGAGGCCTTTTTGACCCTATCATCTCTGTCTTCCACAGTCTGAGTTAAAAAGATCCCTTTTGGAAACCAGAACAGTTTTCAGTTGCCCGTCCGCCCACCCCTCCCCTCACCACTCCACCCCAAACTCTTTATCCCATTTATAGATAGATAGAATATACTTAGAAATGACAGCAGCAAACACTTCCTGCAATCAGAACACTTCAACATTTCCTTTACCTGAGACCACCTCAGTCCCTCTAACACTCAGTCCTTATTGCTTTACTTCTGCACATTCTGCTTTTCTCAAAGTACTTACTCATCTGATCAATGCTCTATCTTCTCTTCTTTCCCTTTTCTCTCCTGTCTATCAGCATCAAAATATCTCCTTTTACCCACTTCACTCAACAATACAATCACATCCACATTAATTCACCTCTTGTACTCTACCCCTTCTCTCATCTCATGCCCTGCACTCATTTCTCTATTCTTTCTCTCCTGCTCCCACCCAATCTCATCCTAGACCCCGCCCATATAAAACCCATTCACCATTCACACCTCCTGTCGCTATCTCTCCTCCTACTTCTAGCAGCTGGTGATGTCTCTCCCAACCCAGGGCCCCTCACCTCGTCTGCTCACACTAAAACAACTAGAAAACCTTATCCAAATACCCTGCAGTTTATCCTCTACCAAGATTCAGTGTGCAGTCTGGAATGCCCATTCCATCTGTAGCAATATACACAACCTCTTCATATCTAATTCCCTCACACTTCTTGCACTCACTGAGACCTGGCTTTCCCCCTCTGATACCGCTACTCCAGCTTCTTTATGTTTCAGTGGACTAGTATTCTCCCACACTCCCAGACTCAACTGTAAAGGCAGCAGTGTAGGCATCCTTTAATTATCGCCCCCCCTCAGTCATACAAGGCTATTCATTGAACATTTTTCTTCCTGGCTACCCCACTTTCTTTCCTCTAGCACTCCGTCCCTCATACTTGGGGGCTTTAACATCCCAATGAACAACCTCTCACTCTACAACCCCACTCTCTCCTCTCAACTAGACATCATGGTACCTCCTACATTTAAACACAGCAAGCATACACAATTACAACCCTGGCACACCAAGCTGACCCAATATCTCAGAGAATGTTCCAGAACTGCTGAACACTGTTGGAGTAAGTCTCACTCTGCACCTGACTTCCTCCACTATAAATTTATGCAGCACTCCTACACTCTGGCTCTTTCCTCTGCAAAAGTAAATTACTTCAACACACTCATACGCACACTGTCCCGACAACCAAAATGCCTATTTCACATTTTTAATGCTCTCCTTTGCCCTGTTGATCCCCCTCCTCCTACCACCCTGTCCACCTCAAACTTTGCGACTCACTTCACTGAAAAGATTTTTACAATCAGGGAAGAGATCTCTAACCTCTCTCCCTTCCAATACATCACCCAACCCCACTCACTCCACTGTGCTATGCTCATTCGCACCTACTACAATGGAAGAGGTTTCTGCTTTGCTCCGGTCCTCCCACCCCACCACTTGTTCCCTCGATCCTATTCCCTCATATCTCATCCGCACTCTGTCTCCCTCTCTTGCTCTTCCACTCACTGAAATTTTCAATCTCTCCCTTTCCTCCTGCACATTTTCATCACCCTTCAAGCATGCAACCATAATGCCAATTCTGAAAAAGCCCAACCTTGACCCCAACTCCCCTTCCAACTACCGCCCTATATCGCTACTGCCATTTACCTCCAAAATCCTTGAGAGAGTTGTTTATGCAAGATTGATAGACTTCCTCAAATCCAACTCTCCGCTTCACCCACTTCAGTCTGGATTCTGCGCTCGTCACTCTGTTGAAACAGCTGTGACCAAAGTATCCAATGATTTAACCACTGCTAAATCTTGCAACAATTACTTTATCCTAATTCTCCTTGATCTTTTTGCTGCCTTTGACCCTGTTGATCATTAACAGCTTCTTCTCATTCTCCATAATCATTCTCTGTAATCATTCTGCTCTCTCCTGGTGCTCCTCTTACCTCTCCCAGTGCTTTTTCAGTGTTTCTTTCTCTGGCTCTGCCTCTTCTCCCCAACCGCTCTCTGTTGGTGTTCCCCAAGGTTTTGTCCTTGGTCCCCTACTGTTTTCCATCTATACTGCCTCCCTTGGTAAACTCATCACCCCATTTCATTTCTATTATCATTTATATGCAGATAACACACAAATCTACCTGCATCTTTGCGATTTCCAACTGGATGGCTGCTCACTTCCTTAAACTCAACCTGTCCAAAACATAACTTCTGGTCTTTCCTCCCTCAAGTGTTGCTACTTCCGTTTCTGTCTCTCTCCAAGTCAACGGCGCCACCATCACCTCTACCTCGCAGGTTCGCTGCCTAGATGTTCTCTTTGACCCCGACCTCTCCTTCACCCATCATGTCCAGTTGATCGTCAAATCCTGTCGCTTCCATCTCAAAAACATAGCTTGCATCCGCCCCTACTTAAATTAACATCAGATGCGGCAAAGGTGCTGGTCCATGCCGTTGTTCTTTCTCGCCTTGATGCCTCCAGCGTTAAGCAAGCTATTAACAGAGCAGGATATAAGAAATCCTAAATTAAACAGAATTTGCAAAAAGGGAAGTGTAAACATTAGATTACTCTTTACATGAAGTGTTTAGGAAGGCTGTGTAAGTCACATGCTGGGAGGTGTGCCTAGGGCTGCATAAATAAAGTGAAAACATTTAAGTCCTAAATTGAAATGAATTGATCAGTGAGACTGCAGGGGCCTGATCTTTACAACAAAACTGCTTCATTAAATTAAAGTTGTTTTGGTGACTATGATGTCCCTTTAACATATTTCTACTGTTACCCTTGAAATGAAAATGTTTGTAACTGTAGTTA